GTACTCACAGCAATACACACAACGTGACAATGCGCTACGTACTCACAGCAATACACACAACGTGACAATGCGCTACGTACTAACAGTGATACACGCAGTGTGACAATGCGCTACGTACTAACAGCGATACACGCAACGTGACAATGCGCTACGTACTAACAGCGATACACGCAACGTGATAATGCGCTACGTACTCACAGCGATACACGCAACGTGACAATGCGCTACGTACTAACAGCGATACACGCAACGTGATAATGCGCTACGTACTCACAGCGATACACGCAACGTGACAATGCGCTACGTACTAACAGCGATACACGCAACGTGACAATGCGCTACGTACTAACAGCGATACACGCAACGTGACAATGCGCTACGTACTAACAGTGATACACGCAACGTGATAATGCGCTACACACTCACAGCGATACACACAGTGTAACAACGTGCTATGCACCCACAGCGATACACACAGTGTAACAACGTGCTATGCACCCACAGCGATACACACAACGTGAGTTACGTGCCATGTTACAAACATGCAGTGTCACGCAAGAAGGGTATATCATAGGAAGACATTGTGAACAGGGAATTTAAGAAGAGGCCGTTTATAATTATATCTGAAATTTTTAAATGGGAATATCTTATAATGAGGTAATTATCACAGTGAGGCAGTGACCTGTTATGATAGATAAAACTGAAACATTAAAACATTCTGTTCTACATTCACTAGAGCATGAGAATGCATGGCTATGTATAACAGGCTTACAACAATTGTATCACTAATTCAGCAGAGATGCAACGAAGATACATGGCAATGAATTGTCTCACCTGAGTGCATCAGCAAAATAAAGGTACTCTTTGATCTGGTCCGCAAATTGTTCCTCTTCCTCTAGCATGGCGTCGATTGATGCTGCGTACCTGTAGCACGCAAAACCCAACAACGCTTACCATCCAATAATGCAAACTCCAACAATGCTTACCATCCAATAATGCAAAACCCAACAATGCGTACCATCCAATAATGCAAAACCCAACAATGCTTACCATCCAATAATGCAAAATCAGGAGATTCCCCTGAAGCGCAACCGAGGACACTAATGAGGATATGAGGAAGGCGAGTTCCCGAACGCGACGCAGGGACATAATGAGACGGGGAGGAGTTCCTCGAACGCAGCAGGGACACAATGAAACGGGGAGGAGTTCTGAACGCACCAATGACACAATGCAGGACGGGGAGGAGTTCCTGAACCGCAGGGCCGCAGGACACAATGAGACGAGCGAGGAGATTCCCGTGAACGGCAACCACAGGACACAATGAGACGAGGAGGGTGAGTTCCTGAACACGGCACGCAGTGACAACCAATGAGACAGGGGAGGAGTTCTGAATGCACCAGGACAACAATAGAGATGAGGGAGGAGTTCCCTGAACGCACAGGACACAATGAGACGAGGAGGAGTTCCTGAACGCACCAGGACACAATGAGACGAGGAGGAGTTCCTGAACGCACCAAGGACAGCAATGAAACGGGGAGGAGGTTCCTGAACGCAACGGCAGGACACATGAGGACGAGGAGGAAGTTCCCGAACGCAAGCGCAACGAATCGAGGCCAGGAACAAATGAGGACAGACGGAGGAGTTGCCCTGAACGCACAACATGACACAACTGAAGAGCGGGCGAGGAGGTTCCGCCGAACCGCACCAGGACCAAGAGATGAGGCAGGAGTTGCCGAACAGCACCAGCGACAGGCAAATGAAGACGGAGGAGGAGTCCTGAAACGCAGCCCATGAACACCAATGAGCCACGAGAGGGTTCCTGAAACGCAACTCATGAACAATAAGCACGAGGCGTCTGCCACGTACCAGGACACCAATGAGACGAGGAGGAAGTTCCCGCGGAACGCACCATATTGACACAATGACGACGGGAGTTCCTGAACGTACAACAGCAGGACAAGGAGGCAACTGAGGACGGCGGGAGGCAGTGTGCCCACTGGAGACGCCAGACAGGGACAGCACGATAAGAGCGAGGCGTTCCTGAACGTACCAGGAAGCAATGAGACGAGGAGGAGTTCCGAACGCACCATGAACACAATGACGAAACGGGGAAGTGTCTAGACGTACCCAAAGAACAAATGAGCACGGGACGGAGTTCCCAGAACGCAGCCCAGGACACAATGCAGACGAGGCGGTTCCTCGAACGACACTGCAGCGAATCAAATGAGACGAGGAGGAGTTCCCGGCAGGAACAGGTACCATGACACAAGAGACGAGGCGTTCCTGAACGCACCAGGACACAATGAGGAGAGAGGGGATTCCGGAAGCGGCACGCATGAACACGAATAGAGACGGAGGAGGGAGTTCCGTGAACCACACCAGGACATAATGAGACGCAGGGAGGGGAGGTTGCTGAATGCACCAAGGCCACAATGAGAACGAGGAGGGAAGTTCCTGAATGCACCAGGACACAGATGAGACGAGGAGGCCGTTCGCGGAACCCAGGCGCCATGACACAAGAGTACGAAGGGAGGAGTTCGCCAAGAACCGTACCAGGACATGAATGAAGACGAAGGAGTTCACTGAACGCAGCGGGAGGGCCATGACACAATGAGACGAGGCGTTCCTGAACAGCACAACAGAACACCATGAACCGGGAGGGAGTTACCGCTGAAGCGCACCAGGACTATCATATGAAGTAGCGAAGCGTATGCCTGAACGCCACTCAGGACACAATGAGGACAAAGAGGTGAGTTCCCGAACGCACCATGCCCACAATGAGACGGGGAGGAGTTCCCAGAACTCGGCACCGAGATGACACAGATGAGACGAGGAGGAGTTCCCGAACGTACCAGGACATAATGAGGACGAGAGCGGAGGAGTTCCTGAACGCACGGCAAGGACAGCAGAATGAGAGGGGGAGGGAGTGGTGAACGCACAGCAGGACAGCGCCATATGAAACGGGGAAGGTAGTCCCTGAACGCTATGCTAAGCCGAAGGCCTGGGAGAGGGATCGGATCTGCTGCGACGGAGTGGGCGGGAGAAAGGAAGACAGGGCGCTCCACTGAGCTAACAAAAAGAGGGATGGAAACGGGGGAGGAGGTTCATTGGAAGCGCCGAGCTGACATCGCCATGAGACAAAGCAATGAGAACGGAAGAGGTGCGCTAAGATATTTGTTCCCGAAGCGCGACTGCGCAGGGGAACCACGACGCAGAGACTGAGATGCGATGGCAGGATCGAGCGAAAGGAGAGGTGAAGATAAGAAAGGAGAGGGGGTGTAGTCGTGACGAGAAGCAAGTAGACATAAGCAGGGGACTGCCAGAAGGGAAATGATCTTCCGAGGTAGGAAGAGGCGACGAGAACGTGCACAAGATTTGGTATCGTGCAGGAGAGATAGTGGGTTTACAGCGAGGGGAGGACCAAACGCGAAGATGGCAGGGGGAAGCAGGAAGAAGTCAGCAAATAAGGAGAAGGCGCAGGGGGAGGCGTGGGAGTATTCCACGGGGGGAGTGGGAGGGCGGTGGAGGAGAGAAGGAGAGAGAGGGAGAGGGGGGACAGGGCAGATCGGGACAAGAAGAACAAGGTGATGCAGAGAAAGAGGGGAGGGTGTGGGGGAGGTGTCCGGTGAAGGTGGACGCATAGGCAGATGCGACAGGCAATGGAGGAGGGGAGGAGTATCCTGAGTGGCACACGGGCTGAGCAAAACATAAGACAGGGACTTCGGGGGAGTTCGGCGTGAACGCAGAGGGGGAGCGGCGGGTAGGAGGCCACGGGAGAGGAGAGTGCGGAGGCGCATAGGGGGGGCTGACAGGAAGGCAGTAAGGAGAGGAAGAACTCAGACGGGGAGAGTGTGTCGCTAAGAACGGAGAAGGTCGAAGCTTCGGACGTGCACGAAGAGGGTAGACAGGCAAGCGAAACGAGGTGGACGAAGCTCAGGGGAAGGCGGATGGCGGCGACAGAGAAAATAGAGGGCGGTGAGGCGAGAGAAGATAGACGCAGAGGAGAAGCGAGTGGCAAGACACAAATTCGTGGTGTTGGTGAGTCGACGCGTGAGAGAGGGGGGAAAAGGTATGAGGCAGCGGCGAGTCGATCAGGCGCACACCTGCCTCGGCCGACTCAGCCGGATGCTGCTTGCTGGTGCAGTCGTCTGCACAGGCCTCCTGCGGCCGCAGCGATAATCTCCCTCCTATCCACACTGCCAGCGCTTGGCTTCCTTCTGCTCAGGTGTTCTGCGGCTGCCAAAACACGCCATGTCGTGCGAAGCAGCATTGATGAGGACAGATGCCCACGCGCCATGAACGCGTAGCGCCCGCTGCCAGCCGCACACGCACATGGCAGGTGTTAGTTTGAGGGAGTGAAGGGCGCATAGCGAATGAGCTGGAGGAGCGATGAAGTCCCGCGGAGCCAGGCAGAAGCGACCGCTCCCACTATAGAAAGAGCACCGCCAGAGACCCACGCTATCCTCAGGGACTCGCTTAAAATTTTCGCGGGGGAATCGACGTCCCCTGTAGCCGGCGAAACCGCGGTGATGCTTTTGCGGGATTTGTGTACCTGCTAGAGGAGGTCGAAGGGGCCTTGGAGAGAGCCCCCTTAAATGCGAAATAGATCCTCGATGAGCTTTCAGAAGAACTAGCAGGGAATTTACAGGGAATTTGATCGACCGGGAGTTTGATAAAGTTTTCTAATGATATGCAAAGAGCGGAGAGAAGAAAAACACCAGAACGAGAGGGTACGCCTTTGTTAAAGAAATCGTCCGGGGGTATGAACAGTACAAACTATCAAAGGAACCCCTTTTTTTTTAGGCAATTCTGGCCGGATTTGCGCGGGGGGGTGACGAAAAATAGCCTTTAACCAAGAGGAACGGCGCGATGGCGGTCGTGCTGCCGACCTGCGGAAGTGGGGCCCGGGCACGTGTCATTGAAGAACTAACGTGCCCGACAGGCTTGTATAAGCAGAGTAGGAGGGACATGATTCAACCGGAACACTGGCGGCCGAGCGGGAGCGGCGAAGAGGTGGGCCGTTACGGCCGGGTAATAAGGGCAGCGTCCCCGTGGCACTCAGGGTCCGACGACGACTGCCGTATATTGACACCTGCACCGGTAGAACAGCAAACTAACGGTTCACAACTTGCAGTTTACTACAATCTTGCCAGCGCGCCCAGTCAGAACGCACCAGCTTGTAATTTTTAAAGGAGTTGCTGAGCCGAGGGGCGAGCCAAATGCTTCTGCAGGTACAGGCTGAGGCCGGGAACAATTTTTTCTCGGGTCGAAAGAGGATACCGAGGCAGGTGATGCGAGCGTCAGGGTGTGAGCGAGATAGCCAAGGATCTGGACGGAGATGGACGAGAATTCAACCGGGACGGACTCGACACAGAGGTGATGGGACACCGAGTTATGGCGTGCGGGAAGAGCCCTGCAAGATCCAGAGTGGCTTCAGAGCCTGGATGAGCCGTGTTCCGGCGCTCCGCTGACCCTTGCATGCTGAGGTGCTCCTCCGCTCATTCTCTGACAGACTCAAACTGCAAGCAGCTCGTGGCTGCTGCACACCGTCTGCATGTCCCAAGCCGAACGTGACAAAGCGCTTAGGCAGCACTCCACAGGAAGATACAGACCGAGTGTAAGACAACCGTGCTAGGTGGGACTACGGCACAACAAAAATGGGAAGAGAGAGAGAGAGAGAGAAGGGGGAAGGAGAGAAAGAGAAAGAGAGTGAGAGAGAAAGAAAAAATAGGAAGAGAAACGTTGAAGGGTAAGAGAGGAAAGCGGTGAATTCGTCCGAGTTGCTGTATCAATTACTTGCTCTGTATAAGGTCACAGTTTGTAAAAGCCCTAAAAAATGCTCATATTAATCAGTGCAGGAAATAATGCATGTGTTTGGGAAGACACTTAAATCACAGCAATGGCCGATTAAATTACACAATGGAACTAATTAGGCAAAGCAGTCTTGTAAACTAGGAACACGCACTCTGATTCATGTATTTGTTACTGCAACGTAACCTCTAAGCACCGCAATAGTACAACAGCGCATGTAAAAGTATCAGCTGATGACCTCTGGTGTTTTTTTTAAGAACTTGCGAGTTACGCTAGTTTGACCTGTATTAAAAACAATAAAATTAAAAAAACTTCCAACACAACTTTTGTTATTCTGTTACGATTCTGATTTCTTTATATATTTTTTCGTTGTATACATCTTTTTACACGCACGTGAAATTCGTCAACGAAAAGGTTGACCAACTGAATTGTAAAGGAAAATATAAAACACATTTATGCACACTGAATTTATGTACTGTCAACACACACATATATATATATATAGAGAGAGAGAGGTATGACATGCTCCCCGATACACGCATTCGGAGTAAGTATGCAGTAATGCGACACATCCAGCAATAATTTGGCGTTAGCTTGCATTTCAAGCCCAATCCTACATATATATAAGATATCTATATAAATATTAGTATATTTACGAAGCGCATAATTTTCAATATCCACTTGCAGCAAGTTGAGCATTTAGTTTCAAGCCTAAATACTTGCAAATTATGGACACTTTTTAACCCATTAACCATACAGCAGTTGCAAATCTGTGTTTTCCCAATGACAATGTTTTGCATGATATGGAAGTAAGGTCATCATTTTTACAGAGTATTTATGGGGGTGCAACTTCAAAACTAATATAATTTACACCTTAACAATGCTGGTATAACTAATTGTGTTAATGTGTATCCATTTTAGATCATAATCACCAAACTATTTGTCCTAATAACTTGCAACTGCCTTTAACACACAGAATGTTCATACAAATTGTACAACACAGACGAATATCGTTTAAAATTCGACTGCAAAATTACAAGAGGGATTTGTGTCATTGACAACTAACCAGAGCAGTGAATACAAGTGTTCATGCAGCATTACGCATCGAGGGTGGTGCGCACTCTGGTCCGCCTACAGAAGACGTGTGGTAACGAAAGCATTTGTTATACATCTCCTTTCTTTAGCTTGTTTAAACTAGCACACCTAGGCACGCCTAAGCGTTAGAGTAGCGGACATTGAGAGCTCAGCTTAAGACCTCGTGTTAGGGTAAAACTTGAAGGTAATATTTAAAAGTATGCTCTAGCACATATTTCACGTGATCCACGAGTCTGCCACTCGCACGCAATTCTGCGATGCACAGAGCACATTTATATGACACGAGTTTATATTCTGGAAACAGTTCCATCTTCCATCTTCCATTCCCCAATCATTACTGATCTTGCGAATTTGAGCTATAGCAAACGAATTGGATGTAGTAACTAATGCAGTTACAGCTTTCGAGGCAAACTTCTACTGAAAGATCGTACTTTGATATAATAATTGTCCCACCACTTCACAATGATTCACAAGACACATGCGTATTGCAGCAAATCATGGGTCCAGTTAAGCAGGGCTGTGAGCCCATTATAGATAGGTACTTCGTGCAATTTTCTTGTACATCGTGGCTCACAACAGAATACAACAGAATACAGAAGCAGTTTGTACCCGAATGCACCTTCATGCTTTATCATACCCTCATCCATGCATATATCTAGATCCTTTCAAAGCTGCCCTTTGCATTGCTCCAAATCTGGATACCCTAGAACAAAATAAAGAAAGTAGAATAATTTAAGCATACAGGGTAGATTGATTAATTTTCGTTGTAAAAGACTTGTTGTAAAACAGTTGTTACACACTGCCATCTGTTGGCAGAAAAATGCAGCAAAACGTGTTCAACGAACCTTCTTGCACAGCTTGATCTGCAGTTCGACGTAGGAGCTCAGAATGTCCCTGATGTCCTTTGACTTCTGCTGCTTAAACCTTTCAATGTCTCGTAGAGCATCCTGGGTGAAATCACTGCAAACGCACCAGGACACAATGAGACGAGGCGTTGCCGAACGTACCAGGACACAATGAGACGGGGAGGAGTTCCCGAACGCACCATGACACAATGAGACGGGGAGGAGTTCCTGAACGCACCATGACACAATGAGACGGGGAGGATTCCTGAACGTAACCATGACACAATGAGACGGGAATTCCCGAACGTAATCATGACCAATGAGACGGGAGTTCCGGAACGCACCAGGACACAATGAGACGAGGAGGTTCCTTAAGGCGTACCATAACACAATGAACGGCGGATTCCCGAACGTAAACCAGACAGCAATGAGACGGGGAAAGTCCGCAGGAACGCACCATGAACAAATGAAGACGAGGAGGAGTTCCCGAACGTACAGGAACACAATGAGACGGGGAGGAGTTCCCGAACGCACCAAGGACAACAATGAAGAACGGGGAGTTCCTGAACGTACCATAACACAATGAGACGGGGAATTCCCGAACGTACCAAATGACACAATGAGAGCGGGGAGTTCCCTGAACGCCACGCATGACACAATGAGAATCGAGGAGTTCCTGAACTACCCATGACACAATGAGACAGGGGAGGAGTTCCTGAACGCACGGCAGACATAATGAGACGGGGAGGAGTTCCTGAACGTAACCATGAACACAATGAATGGGGAACGGAGTTCCTGAAACTGCACCAGGGACATAATGAGACGGGGAGGAAGTTGCCTGAACGTACCATGACACAATGAGACGAGGAGGAGTTCCTGAACGCACCAGGACACAATGAGACAAGGAGGAGTTCCTGAACGCACCAGGACACAATGAGACGAGGAGGAGTTCCTGAACGCACCAGGACACAATGAGATGAGGAGTTCCTGAATGCATCAGGACACAATGAGACGAGGGAGGAGTCCTGAACACACCAGGACATAATAAGATGGGGAGTTCCCGAACGTACCAGAACATAATGAGACGAGGAGGTGTTCCAGAACGAGAATCAACTTCACGCACGAGATGTAACGCCGACGCGCTCGCTGGCAAACACAATCGTGTTTCGTCGACGCGACCTCGATCCGCACACGCCTCGGCCGACTCACCGGATGCTCTTGCTGCCCCGCAAAACGTCCACAGCCTCCTCGGCCGCGATAATCTCCTCCTCCACCTGCTGCAGCTTGGCTTCCTTCTGCTCAGGTGTTTCTGCGCTGCCAAACACCTGCCGTGGCGAAGCGCTCTGATGAGTGACATTGCCCCGCCATGACACTGGCGTGCCCGGCCCGCCCCACCATGTTATATTAGGGTTAGCGCATATTATGCTCTGTTCCTTCCGCTTTGAAAGCACCCCCCTATCTCAGGACTGCTATAAAATTTCCGATTCCGCCCTCTTCGCGAGGCGCTTTTTGCGGGTTTTCCCTGCCTTTGGAGACCCCTTAAAGTCGCGAAAATAAATTCCTAGAATGAGCTTTCAAGAACTGAGCAGGAATTTCAGGAATTTGAATCCCGGGGAGTTTGTAAAGTTTTCTATATATTAAGATGAAAAGCGAGAGGAAAACACTTCACCACCCTTTTTAAAAGAAATCTCCGGTGAACAAGTCAAATACATCCCCTTTTTTTTACAATTCCTTGGCCGGATTTTGTCGCTTGCGAAAAATACCCCTTTCAGAGATTTTGGGAATCGCGCATGCGCGCTCCTCCGACATCGGAGTGGGGGGCCCGCACGTGTGTCATTGAGAACACGTCCCTGACACTTTATCAGTCAAGTATGGAGGACATGTGTACCAACATTTCCCGCAATGTAAGGACACGTCCCTGGCAATCAGGTCGACGACGACCCGTTAATATTGACACTCCACACAACACGTTCACTGGTCAGTTACTCACTTGCACAGCGCCAGTCCGAAACCACAGCGTATGCTGAGCCCGTGGGCTGAGGCCTAAATGCTCTCAGGTACAAACAATTTTTTTCTCTCAAAAGATACCGAGGCAGGCGATCGCTCAGTTGGCGAGCTACAGGACTGACGATGGATCATACCTTGCTTCGGATGCCGCCGATCCAAGTGGCCTTGCCCTGGATGAGCCGTTCCAGAAAGGAGGGCTCCTAAGACCGCTTTCATGGCCGAGGTGCTCCTCCGCTCTCTCCAACTCAAACTGCAGCAGCTCGTGCTTCCTGCACACCGTCCTGCAATGTACCAAGCAACGTGACAATGCGCTAACACACTCACAGCGATACAGCACAGTGTAAGCAACTGTGCTATGCAACCGCACGAGCGATACACACAGTGTAAGCAACGTGCTATGCAAGCCCACAGGCGGTACACACAACTGAGTACGTGGCATGTAACAAACATGCAGTGTTCAGTGCGCAAAGAAGGGTATATCATAGGAAGACATTGTGAAACAGGGAATCGCTAGCCGGCATGAAAGTGTTAATTTAAGAAGAGGCCGTTTATAATTATATCTGAAATTTTTAAATGGGAATATCTTATAATGAGGTAATTATCACAGTAAGGCAGTGACCTGTAATGATAGCAAAACTGAAACATTCTGTTCTACATCTACTAGAGCATGAGATGCATGGGCTATGTATAACAGGCCTTACACACATTGTATCACTAAATTCAGCAGAGATGCAAGCGAAGATACATGGCAATGAAATTGTCTCACCTGTAGTGCAATCAGCCAATAATAAAGGTACCTTGGATCTGGTCCGCAAATTGTTCTCTTCGCTCAGCATGGGCGTCGAATGAATGCTGACCGTACACTGTAGCACGCAAAACCCAACAATGCTATACCATCCAAATAATCGCAAATCCAACAATGCTTACACATCCAATAATGCAAAACCCAACAATGCTTACCATCCAATAAGCAAACCCAACAATTGCTTTACCATCCAATAATGCAAAACGCCAACCATGCCTTACCATCCAATAAGCAAACCCAACAAGCTTACCATCCAATAATGCAAAACCCAACAATGGCTACCCATCCAATAAATGCAAAACCCAACAATGCTTACCATCCAATAATGCAAAACCCAACAATGCTTACCATCCAATAATGCAAAACCCAACAAATGCTTGACGCATTCCAATAATGGGCAAAAAACCCAACAATGCTTACGCATCCAATAATGCAGAAAACCCAACAGATGGCTTACCATCCAATAATGCAAAAACCCACAAGCTTACCGATCCAATAAGGCAAAACCCAACAAGCTTACCATCCAATAAATGCAATAACGCCAACACGGCGCTTACCATCCACAAATGTTTCATCGCAAATAATGCAAAACCCAACAATGCTTAACCAATCCAATAATCACAAACTCCAACACTGCTTACTAAATCCAATAACCATGAAAATGTGCATAGTGTAGTTAATAACGAGCATAAATACTGGCATTAGTGTCGAGAATGCACTCACAACGTCCATGTTAGTGTCGCTAGCACTCCTGAAGGCCGTCACCCATGCTCATTCTCAATCGGCGCCTCATTCCGCTGAATACGCGGGCCATAGTTGGCGTGAACCTGTGTGGCACTCGCGTACAGAAGTGTCAAACCAGTTTTCTGCAAAAAATTATATTAATGAGTGAGTCACACGAATAGTTTTGCATAACCATATATTATCATTAATTAAATGCTTAATAGATTTAAAATAGCAGGTTGTCCATGACCAATGGAGTTATAATATGAGGCAATACATATGCAATGACTGACTATGTTCATCGTTAGGAGTAGCATGCACACCATCGACAACATCACTGAAGCATGTTTTTTCTTTATTAATACAACACTCTGATAAGACAAACTTACAGATAGGAAAATATCTTAATCAAACAAGAGCCCATGAGAGCGTCTGGGCTCATTCTGAGGTTCTGTTGCTAACGGGTTAGTAAAGACGTAACATTTAAGTCGTGCGTAGTGACACATCCGCGCGTTTGTTAGGCGCAAGATATGCAGATACGGCAGTTGCGGTAGCATATCATTCAGGCAACCTTCTGCATAATTGCAATACGTCTCCCCAAATCCGCATTGGTTGATACAAAGTCGGCGTGCCTGAAAACTCCTGTTTTATGTGCATTGTACTGCCTAACCTAACCCTATTAAAATTAAAAAATTAATATTGTTGTAGAAATTAATTTGTTGTAATTGAAATTGTTGTAAAATTATTTGTTGTTATGAAACCTGTTTGTAAGAAATTATTTGTCTGTTATGGAAATGTTGTACGAGTAAATCATAGCAAATATATTGGTCCTTAATTGGAAAGGAAAAATTGAGGTTCTCGCAGAATTATGGATGTGCCATGATATGAAGCAACACTGGACATCAATTGAGGCAGTTCAGGAATGCCATGTACGCCTCGCGCTTAAAGGGTCCAAGAAGGTTATTCCGACACTTACTCTTCGCACGTCAGTGAAAAGCAATTTCATGGTCCTATCAAATAAATGCCAAAAACATGGTAAGTCACTCGCTGAAACAAAAAAAAAGTTTTTCAATCGCTCCTCAGACCATAGTCCTCAAAAAATGTTTAAATCTGACCTGTGGGCCCCCATATGACTTTGACGCTGTGACCCCAATTTCGGCACAGTGATGGCATTTTCCTACCATCGGATGCTATACACCGGACGTATCAAGATGAGCCCTAGGTCAAGCCGCTTAGAATTTGTGCCGCAGATTTTGCATTTCCCGTTCCTATATAACGGGTTAAGTTAAGGAGGGGAATGTTCCCCCCCGGTCGACCACTTATATAGCAGCGTCTTCGTGTCTCTAATGACCTTTGAACTCTTTGCACCCCCAAGAGTCATTAAACTCGGGAACATCACCAACCCGTTTTCTCGAACTACCGATCGAGGATTACCCCAACCATAGCGTCGCCGACTATTCGGAATACGCCGGGACGTCGAGTCCACGTATCCTTAGAATATATAAGTGCCGACGATATCCGTGTGTGATCGGATCCCGCAGGCGGCAACGCACGCAAAACGCACGCACCGTCGACGCACGAGCGGAGCGGACAATCCATTGCACTTAACTACAGAGGCTGCAACTCTGACTACGTCGCGAAATATGAAGCTAGCGAGATCACAACAGAGGCTCTTGATTAAAGGAAATAAAAAGGTTCCATTAATTTCTGGTACTTACATGCATCTGAATATGCTGGGTGAGAAACTATTGCCGTGATGTTTCTCGCCTCCAGCTCTCGCACCAGTAAGTTTCTTTCTTATCTTTTCCAATCAATTAAGGTAAGGAGGAAAATGCCAAAGTTGCGGACTAGTCTGAACATGCAAGAAAACAAACGACGTTAACAATTCGACTGATGTACGACCGCACACGAAAGTGAAAGCAATGGACACCGACGATTTATGATAAAGGATTCCTCAAATAAGTGAGAAACATAAAAGTCTACAGCGTAGGCACTGCGATACTATGAAAGAACAGAGTGAGAGGCCGATCATTCTTTACACTGCCTAGTCAGTCAAATAAAACTGGCAGAGTAAAGAAAATTAACAATTTTGAGCAATCGAAGCGAGAGTCCAATGCCGCGCAGCGCCCATTATCGAAGCGCCTTCCAAAAAGACGGAGAGGTCCAACCAGGTCAAAGTCAGAGGGGATGGCAACAAGAGTGCGCGGCGAGTCAATGGAGATTAAATATTAAATAAAGATTATTTAAAGCCCAATACAATTTAATTGTCATGTGCTTTAGCAATGCGGTGCATGTAGCTGTCAAACACTAATTGTCGTTTGTGAGGATTAACCGCGTGAGGCAAAGAGAATACAGATTTCTACGAGGCATGTGCTCTAGACAGAACTAGGTAAAGTATGGCAGAATTTTTCGAGCGTCACACGGACTAACTGGCATAACGTCAATCAGGGAGTCCGAAACAGTAAATCTGGAGTATTTGTACTCTCGACTTCGTCTCGCAGTTCGAAATTTGACCTGCACTCTGCTGAAACACTGAATATTCACTTGCAGCTGACTATGTCTTAATAAATAAATGTAAGTAGGGACTACTAGAAATAAGTAAGCCAATCTACCCTCTCAGGGCTCAAACACTCGACGGAATAACGCAGTGATTACCGTGGGATAGAAACACATTATATCACAAATGCCACCAATTATCTTCCTAGTAATGTTACCCTATCACTAACCCCGGAGCGGGTGTTGAAATAATTAATCCAGGTGGACATTATGCGACCATGTGAGACTCGGCCTTCCTATCAGTTGAAACTGTCTCACATAGGGCCCAATGATTGGATATTTCTAATAAACACGATCGACAAACATTGAGCACAATCACGATGATAAACTGGTTAATTACCACCTAAATAGATGGTTTCTTTATCCACATGAACTTAACCAAGATGATAAACACTTTACAGTTTTGAATCATTGTGAGTGCAAGCACATCTGATGAGCTATATTGTCACGCCTTATCAACAGTCGTTGCTAGTATATAATAACTCAACATTTGTACTAGGTATTTTTAAATCAAACCACTGTAATGATGTCACGACACTTACAAGTCTCTCAGAAACAATTAATTGATGATAACAGACACACTTATTGAACATACAACACTAAACTACCATGAGATTATATAAATTACACGTTTAGTTCACTAGTTTAATACACCATATTTTTATGAGCTAAACCACTCTGATATTTTATATATAAGGTGCTACATCTAACATGGCGAAATTACCGACACATCTCTAATTATACTACCATCGCCAAACACTTTTAAAAGTAATTTAAGGCAGGAGCCGGATTCTTATGAGTCTACACATATCACTGAGACAAGAGAGTAAAGTGGAGGAATTCTTTAATTGCGTGGCGTAGAGAGAGCATGAGAAATTTTCTATCAGGTGCCTCTTAGACCTCAAGAATATGATGGAATTTCAAGGCTGACTAATAAATGAAGCCCCACAAAGTCGATACTCATTAACAGCCATAATAAAGAGCTTACACCACTGTTCGGCTGCAGTAACAGCTTCTATCTGTCCGCAATCCCTTGAAGAACCTATAGCAAAAGATGCAAAAGACTCAGTAAATGACACCGAAAACTTTTAAAAAATGTTGTGTATAACCGTATAGCTATGGTACTTGTTCTTTGCGCAAGAAGTAGACCCTGCGAGATAAATCAAAAGATAACCCGCCATAATAAAACAAAATTGTTTGTTTTGCTCTCGACCCCAATCCAGACGTACCGCGAAAAAAGCGCCCAGACTAGACGCCTCTATGGCTCCCTTGTTTGAATTAGAATATTTCCTACTGTAAAGTTTTGTTTCAGTGTATAATAAGAACAGAAATGCTTCAGATGAATGTGGATGGTGGCAGCTACCTAAACGATAGGACATATCAAAGTCATGCAATAAATATTTGCTCAGTTAAAACAGTCAATGGAAATCCTGCTATTTATAATATTAAGCATTTAAATCAATGTAATAATGGTTATGCACCTATCGTGTGACCACTCTAATATAATATTTTGGCAGAACGGTTGAGAACACTTTGTACGGAGTGCAACAAGGTCACGCCAACTATGGCCGCGTATCAATGCGAATGGAGCGCGATTGAGAATGAGATGGTGACGGCCTTTCAGTATGCAGGACACTACATGGAGTGTGAGCCAATACTCGCACTAATGCAGTTGTTTAAAATAGTCGAGTATTAACTACACTAGTGCAGCATTTCATGCGTTATTGAAGTAAGCAGTGTATGGAGTTTGTGTTATTGAGGTAAGCATTCTTTGGGTATTTGCATATTGGAGGTAAACATTGTTGGATGGTAAGCAGGTTTTGGGTTTTGCATATTGGATGGTAAGACATTGTGGGTTTTGCAATTATTAGGATGGTAAGCAATTGTTGAGTTTGCATTATTGGATGGTAAGCTATTGTTGGTTTGCATTAATTGGATGTAAGCATTGGTGGGTTTGCATATTGGATGTAAGCATTTTGGGTTTTCACTTAATTGGTGGTAAGCATTGTTGGGTATTTGCATTAATTGGATGTAGCATTGGTTGGGTTTTGCATATATTGGATGGATAAGCATTGTTGGGTTTATGCATATTGTGATGGTAAAGTCATTGTTGGGTTTTGCAAATTATTGATGGTAATCCATATGTTGGTTTGCAGTTATTTGTGTAAGCATTGTTGGGTTTTGCATTATTGGATGGTAAAGATTGTTGGGTTGTTGCATTATTGGATGTAAGCATTGATTGGTTTGCATATGGTGGTAACGCAATTGATTGGGTTTTGCGTGCTACAGGTACGCAGGCATCAAATCGACGCCAATGCTAGAGGAAGAGGGGTAACAATTTGCGGAACCAATTCAAAGAGTAACTTTAATTAGCTGATGCACTCAGGTGAGACAATTCTTGCCATGTAAATCATCGTTGCATCTCGCTGAATCATAGTAATACAATTGTGTAAGCCTGTATAGCATGCGAGTCATGCATCTAGAATGTATGAGACAGATGTTTCGTTTTTGCTATCATTAAGGGTCACTGCCTCACATGTGAGTATCCTCATTAATAATAGATATTCCCATTAAAAATTTAGAATATAATTATAAACGGCCTTTCTATAATTAACACTATGCCGCTAGCAGAATCCCGTTTCACATATGTCTTCTTGATTACCTTTCTTGCACGTGGCACACTGCATGATTATGTAAACCATGGCACGTACTCACGGATATGTGTAACCGCTGTGGGTGCATAGGCAGCGTTGTTACACTGTGTTATCGCTGTGGTGCATAGGCACTTGCTTTACCGCGCTGGCTGATAGTATCCGCGGCTGTGTTGATGTAGCGCAGTTGTCAGTTGCCGTTGGATACATTAGCAGGGGACGGTCGTGCAGGAAGCACGAGCTGCTGCAGTTTGAGTGAGAGCGGAGGAGCACCTCGGCATGAGGGTCAGGCGGGAACGGCTCATCCAGGCAAGGCCACTTGATCGACGCAATCACGAAAGCAAGGTATGATCCATATGTCAGTCCATGTAGCCTCGCCAACTGAGGCGAACATCGCACTGCCTCGGTATCTTTTGAAGAGAAAAAAATTGTTTGTATACCTGAGAAGCATTTAGGCTCAGCCCCACGCTCAGCATACGCTGTGGTTTCGACTGGCGCGTGCAAGTGTAGTAACTGCAGTGAACCGTAGTTTGTGTGAGTGTCAATATACGGGTCGTCGTCGACCTGAGTGCCAGGGGACGTGTCCTTATTGACGGGAGTGTTGGTAATCATGTCCTCCATATTGCTATAAAGTGTCAGGGCACGTGTTCCATATGACACACTGTGCGCCCGGCCCCCCACTCCGAGGTCCGGAGGGACCGATCGCGGTTCCCAAAAATCTCCGGTAATAGGGGTAGTTTTTCCGCGCGACAAATCGGCCGCAAGAATTAGTAAAAAAGGGTGTATTTAGACTATTTACCACCGGAGATTTTCTTTAAAAGGGGGTGTTTTTTCCTCTCGCTCTTCTCTTGATACATAAAATACATATCAAATCCCGGGATCAATTCCTGAAATTCCTGCTAGTTTTGAAAGCTCATTCAGGATTATTATCCGATTAAGGGTCCTCCAAAGGCAGAAAAAACACCGCAAAACCGCGAAAAGGGGATTACCGAAATTTTAGCAGTCCTGAGATAAGGGGGTGCTTTCAAAGGGAGGAACGTAGCATATATGCGTACTAAATAACACTGAGGGGGGGCCCGCGGCACAGCGTGTCATGGCGGGGCATGTCCTCATCGATGCGCTTCGCACGCTGGTGTTGCAGCGAGAAACACCTGACAGAAGGAGCCAGCTGCACAGGTGGAGAGGAGATTATCGGACGAGATACAATTGTTTAATTGATACTTTCCCATTTCTTTTTTTGTTTACAAGATTTGTATATCGCAAAATCGCCTGCAACAAGTACAAAAGACGTGTCAAAGTCCGATTTACGAGTATGATAATCTGACCCCGAGGCGTGGAAAGCAAATAGCAAGACACACTTGCAAGCAAAATAAAAGCTGAACGTTCCCACGAGCACAGGGTCCAGAGTACCCGGAAGAATCAGTCGGAACACCATGCTAAATTTTTGTTATAAATAAAAAATCCTCCAAAAGAACAAGAAGGAAAGAGGACAAAAAGCGCGTGAGCCTAACCGGACCTCCAAGCTGTTCAGCCTGGTCAGTGATAAAAGCTATAAGCTTTAAAGGAGTTTTCTTTGTTTGAATTGATAGGCTAGGACCTTGCTCGCGACCTAGAGTGATATAATCAACTACTCAACGCATTCGCTCCTTTATTTACTTGTGAGTACGTAGCGTGACGTTCCGAATGACAACGAGTAACACACTGGTTATCCTACTCACAAAACAATCTTTACCGTTAAGCTTGGTAAACCTTGTGGTCCTATGCTGACCGATGGTCGTTCCTCAGAACTCCTCTCTAACGGCTATCCTCCTTGCAGCTGAGATCAAGTCGCATACGAGTGTATACAGGGAACCCCATCATCGATCAGTTTCCTTGTTCCTGACAGTTGCGTTAGATGGTGGGAGATACAGCCGCAACATGCGACTACTCGTTCTGCTGCACGAGCTATAATACCGTGATGACGCACGTCCAATTTCCCAGCAATGCATTTACGGTGAGCGACTGCCTCCATCAAGGAACACCATGTTCACTCCATCCAAATGTTAACATTGACATTGCCCATCGGTGCTAGGTCATAGCCCCTCTTCCACCCAGGACCGAACTCTCACAAATCCATGCACCCGCTCCCGCGCCGTGCCATTGGCGTGTTGTAAGCGTCTGCCAACGGCAAACACATACACACATGAACACACACGCGACACACTCACCCCGACTACCGTCACAAACCTGTCAACGCACTGCGATCCACAACACTACAGCAGCCCACGCAATACACATCCACAAGCTGCCACCTGCTAAACGACGCCTCTCTCCCCTGTCTTTTCGAATCTGGAATAGGTTCAGGTCAAAACTTATCGCGTTGGGACCAATCTCGTGCTCTCAATGAGGAAGGTTGCCTGTAAAGCGGCACAAAATTAAAAATTAGGCCCACCGTTAAGCGCCCTACATAAACTTCAATAAACATGTCTTCGCGAGTAGCTCTACGTTCAGGTGTGGCTGAAACGAGGATATGAAGATGCACATCTCCCCCCAATCTGCAAATTTGCTATATTATCTATACATTAAACAAGACAACATCAAGTAGTTTCTTGAAAATTGATATCGTAACAATATTTTCCTTACGGATGATATTTGTGAAACATTTGTGTGCCATGTTTTAATTTAACCACAGTCAAGTCTAGCTGACGGAACTAAATCGTATCCTGACAATCTTTAGCCTGATAAGTATCTGTTCTCAAATCTACTGAGTGCGTTTCGGTAGAAAACAATCTCCAACACACACCGTCACTCCAATTTTGGACGATCTTATGGATAAATCGTAGTGTTTTCCGTGGACATTAATTCTTATGACTATGTGCTCACTGTAACCCGGTCTCATTGCTTCCAGCAAATGTGTTGAACTGTGTTATCAAAGCGATCGGAACTCCCGTCTCATTGTGTCTGGTGCGTTCGGGACTCTCCGTCTCTTGTGATTCGGGAACTCCATCGTTGAGTCATGTCGTTCGGGCCATTGTACGTCGGCGATTGAGATCGTCTCACTGTCTGGACTCCCATTATGTCTGGTACGTTCATCTTTATTTACTCTCGAGTCATGGTGCTATCGGACCACTCCCTCTCAGTTGTGCGTCCTGGACGTTTCAGGACTCCTCCCGTCTTCACTTGTGTCATGGTGCGTTCCGGAACTCCTCCCCGTCTCATTGTGCTCTGGTACGTTCGCGCACCCTCGCCTCATTGTTCGCTGGTGCGTTTGCAGTGATTCACCCACGGATGCTCTACGAGAACCATTGAAAGGTTTAAGCAGCAGAGTCAAAAGGATCATCAGGGACATTTCTGACTCCTACGTTCGAACTGGGCCAAGTGAATCAAGCTGTGGCAAGGAAAGGAGTTCGTATAGTATGTGTGAAAATCCACACGGGTTTTGCCAATGTCACAGCCAATGTATAAATAGTGTGCACACACAGAATACTAGCGCAATTGTGTGAAAAATACGAACTATGTTTTTTTATCTTTTGACCATTAGATAACACACCAAAACTGAAAAGATATCCTATGTAGACAAGAAGGACTGAGAGAGAGCTAAAAAAATTTGTCTTGATATCTGACTGTGGGAATAGACTTCTTATTTGGCTGAAAATCCATCCCAGCTCCTGATAGATTGCCTACTACAATGGCGTAGATAATTTGCACAAGATTTAAAAAGGTCACTGATACGGCATATAGTACATGTCTCTACTAAATTTGTTTCTAGGGTATCACAGAACTTTGGGCAGAATAGCGCAAAGCACGCACGACCACACTATGTCGAGCACACGTGAAATTAATGTCGAGTCGGCAATGTAATTGGCAATATAATATGCATAGAGTTCAGTGTAAGGTGTATTAGGTATAACAACTGCTATGTATATTAGCAGGTTTCGAGCAGCATCATCGACATATACATATGCAGGATCAAATCTCACTGCAGTGCATCTGTACTCACTTGCTGTTCAGGATCTGATATGTGATGATACCAAAGACGTTTTCAAGAAAGCTAGAGAAACTTAATTTCGCTAGACATTGGTATAAATATATAATATATTATATATATATAGAGAAGAGAGAGAGAGAGAGGAGAGCGAGTTTGAGTAGGGATAAGGAGCAGAGATGAGAGAGAGGAAGAAGATTTTATACGAAATAGGATTGCACCCTGATGTGAAAGTCATTGTGGAGAGTGTGGACATTAATATCAAAGTGACAGAAGTACTTCCAGTAGAAGTTTTCGAGCTGTAGAACCGTAGCAATTAGTTAAGAATCATTGCCAAGTTTGCCGAAATAAGCTCCAAAATTCCGC